AAAATGAGGCTCAACGCCAGCAAGTTCACAACAAGAAATGGCAGACAGATGGAAACAACAGCTTCCAACGAGGATACGCAAGAGGTAGAAAATGAAAGGGCCCTATTAAAACCAACCACACGCAAGACAGAAGGCTTGGTTGGATCCACAACCAGTGTCACAAGGTATGAAGAAAGAAGTCCAGCAAATGAAAGGCCGACCAGTCTTCGCAGGGTTTTCTCGCAACCCATTGACACCAGAACAACAAGTGAACATCATTGATTCAACATGGGTTCCCGAACCTAAACACCACGAAGCACGAGCACGCATTTTAGCAAAAGGCTACACAGATCCCGTTACACACCACGACCTACTCTCGGCAAGCGCGCCTTTGTTCTGCACTCACAGTTGCATTGGTGTACAACTGGTCAGTCTGCGCAGGAAATGTCAGTGTATGATTGCTACACGCAGCGATCTCCCACATCCCGCAACACAGCAAACAGACACAGAATGCGGCAGCTCAACAAAGTTAAAGCCACACAAAGCTCAAGATCATTGCCAAAACAGTAGCAGGGCCAAATAGCGCACAGTCTCACAAGCACGCCTGAATGCCAATTTGCGTGGGAAATTCGGTTCCACACCAAAAAAAACTTAAGGGTGAGGCAGCTTGATGCGCCTGCTGAAAGGGGTTTGGGGTCATCTAAGCAGGAATGAGTCTTGGCCGCCAAGAGGAAAGGGCTTGAACTGGTTTTGGGGAATATTAACTATGAAACCGCCTCTTCTGTACGAGCAAAATGCGTTGTTCTGGAGCCCAAATTCTGTTCGCATTTTGGCTAGATTGGGCTTGCAATTGCGAGTTTTCACAAAGAAAGCAGTGACCTGCAACAAATTCTGCATGGGCACATTTTTGGGGGTTTTGGCCACACACCGTCACACACTCTAGAATACAGAGCAGAACGTTTTTTTCTTAGTAGGCATTTCTCAGTGGCCGTGAGCCAACTCCGAACAAGCTCCGAACAAACTCCGAACGAACTCCGAACAAACTCCGAGCAAACTCCGGACAATCTCCGAACGAACTCCGGGCGAACTCGGAACAAACTCCGAACAAGCGAACAAGCTCCGAGCGAACTTTGGCATTTGTTGATTTCCGAACAAACCCCCGAGCCAACTCCGAACACACTTTGGTCAAACTGCTTTTTTTCGAGCTTACCAAAAGAGGTAAAGTGATTACAGGGGCCAGTTTCAACAAGTGGCCTGGGAAGGCGTTTTTGGAGGCAAACAAACATGTTCTCAGGCCACGTGTTGAAATTAGTTCTTTTGGTCACTTGATTTTCCTGTTATGCATTTTCCGGGCTGGATTTACTTCCCGGACAAGCGCCAAACAATTTTTGGCCATATTTTTCTTTGGGGTGCTGATTTTTGTGTTTTGGCCTTAAGTTTTAGTTTTTCGGCTTTGTTTTGTCTTTTTGCTCGTGTTTTTTTCCAGGCTGTGATTTGTGCTTGATATTTTTTTCGGGGCTTAATTCTTGCCCCGAACGAACTCCGAACGAACTCCGAACGAACTTTGGCCTTAAGTTTGTTTTTGGAGCTTATTTGTTTTTTGGTGTTGAACTTTTCGGGATTTGGTCTGGGGAGCTGTTTTATTTTGTTTTTGCCTTAAGTTTTTGTTTTTCAGCTTTGTTTTGTTTTTGTTTGCTTGTTTTTGCTTTCAGGCTATGATTTGTGCTTAGTTTTTTTTTGGGGGGGGCGGGGGGCATAATTCTTGCCCCGAACGAACTCCGAACGAACTCCGAACGAACTTTGGCCTTAAGTTTTTTTTTGCCTTAAGTTTTTTTTTGGTGTTGAACTTTTCGGGTTTTGGTCGTACAAAAACACTGGAATTACAGCTTGTTCACGCGTTTTGTCTACAAATTCAGTGTTACCAAGGTAAAAAAAACCTTGAAAAATGCTTAATCCAGGTTGTTCAGGCAAAAAAACAGCTATTGCATACGACCAAAATCGGGCAAAACCTTAAGTTCAACACCGGTGTTGAACTTAAGCTTTTTGTTTTTGGAATAAGGTTTTTTTTCCGGATTAAGCCTTGGTCAAGCAGATTAAACTTTGTTTCAGCTTCAACAGCGAGCCTCAGCGCCAACAAGCTTTTTTTTTGGAATAAGGTTTTTTTTCGGATTAAGCCTTGGTCAAGCAGATTAAACTTTGTTTCAGCTTCAACAGCGAGCCTCAGCGCCAACCAAGCTGCGAGATCACCCCGGTAGCGATTTTAGCCCTCCGCAGCTCTCAAGTCCTACAAATCCAGCCCTGAACGCCTTCCCAGGCCACTTGTTGAAACTGGCCCCTGTAATCACTTGGCAACTTTTGGTAATCCCGAAAAAAGCCAAAAAACAGTTTAAACCACCAAAATACTTTTGCTCAAACACGTACTTATGGCCAAAGTGTGTTCGGAGTTGGCTCGGGGGTTTGTTCGGAAATCAACCAATGACAAAGTTCGCTCGGAGCTTGTTCGCTTGTTCGGAGTTTGTTCCGAGCTCGCCCGGAGTTCGTTCGGAGTTCGTTCGGAGTTTGTCCGGAGTTTGCTCGGAGTTTGTTCGGAGTTCGTTCGGAGTTCGTTCGGAGTTCGGAGTTCGTTCGGAGTTTGTTCGGAGTTGGTTCGCGGGGAACCTGGGGCCTCTGAGAAACGCCTACCAAGAAAAACAGTTCTGCTCCGTTTTATGTAGTGTGTGGCCAAAACCCAAACAATGTGTCCATGCAGGATTTGTTGCAGGTCACTGCTTTCTTTGTGAACACTTGCAATTGCAAGCCCAATCTAGCCAAAATGCGAGCAGAATTTGGGCTCAAGAACAACGCATTTTGCTCGTACAGAAGAGGCGGTTTCATAGTTAAGTTATTCCCCAAAAGCAGTTCAAGCCCTTTCCTCTTGGCGGCCAAGACTCATTTCTGTTTAGATGACCCCAAACCCCTTTCAGCAGGCGCGTCAAGCTGTCTTACCCCTAAGGCTTAGCGCGCAGAAACGGCGGGGTCCGCTGGGAAACAAGCAAATTGATTCTTGTTTCGAGGAAACTGGCATCAATAGTACACTTTGAGGTTTGCTGCAAAATCCCTGTTTTTGTTTTTTTGGTTTTGTCAAACCCTTAAGTTTGAGTAAAAAACCATTATTCGTTTTTAGGACCTTAAAACACATAAATCCCGAACGAACTGACCTGACCCATGAAATTTGGCACGCCTGAACTTGTGAGAGCCGCGCAACAGAAAGCAACGTCTACAGATCACAAGACTGTTACAGACATGTGGCCCTCCTGCCACTAGGGTTGGAGTTCTAGGTCCTTGGGACTGGCTACCCCGCGCAAGAAGCAAAGACGCATAAAGCGCACCGCCCATCAGCATGATCTATATAGATTCATGGGAGTACAAAGCAGAATTGCCACACTGTTCAGCAGAATGCAGAAAGAAGTTCTGCTAAGGTTCGCAGGCGGCCCCAGCATAGGAACTACAATGCACTTAAAGGCAATGACATCGACACCAGCCTGAACAACAAATGCGGTGACATCATGCTGGAAAGAATCAGGCATGACAACGTGCAACCCGGCACCAGCACCAGGAGTGTGACACACAAGGCGCAGCAGAAGGCTGGACCATGACCAGCACAGGCAACACAGGCGGCTTGTGGGCAAGATACAACGGCTAGCGCGCGCAAGGCCAGATATCGGCCTTGGTGCCAAGGAACGAGCAAGATCGCTACAAGCACCAACACAGTTTTACAAAAGTAGCTCACTGGCCTAGGTATACCTTGGTTCTGGAGGGCCAGATCGGAGCAACTAGGCTTGAAGAGTGCTACATGGTCTGTTTTGTGCTTGGTGTCAACCGCCTGCAGCTCGATGGCCTACATCGCAATGTTTAACGAAGGGCGCAAGACTCTGCGGGTACAGTTGATGTCACACGCGACGTACAAATTCAACACACGCGAGATGCAGACGCGGCTGGTGCGCCGCATCAACCACTCGAACTGCGTTCTGGAGCCATGGGGCGTGGACAGTCAGTTGTTCCCGCAGTTGAGCACGTTGCCTGCAAGTTCGTCACGCATCCTACAAACGCATAAACCGTTGGCTACATGTCGGCTTCTTGAGCATGGTAGCTGACAACTGGAGGTGACGCTGCAAGGACACTGGGCACAGGTCCTTTGAACAGTTCGCGAGGACATGAGAGTCATGATGCACAGGTGATCAACAACATGATGCAGTCACAGGGCACATCCAGGCAATCAATAACTACCGCAGCACATATTCACCCGCGAGGCCATGGGAACATCTGTTTTCCCTTTCCGCAGCAAGCGCATGGACTAAGCGCATGCCAGACCAGAGTAGTCCAGATAAATGCAGTCTTGCGCAGATCGTCGAAATACGAGACAGCGCGGTCGCACGAAGCACAACAGCCAGCAGAGCTGAGGACACTTTTACTTCACTTCGAAGAGCAAGATCATTCAACTGGTTTTGGCTTGGAGTAGGTGTAAAGAACACATTTGTGTATACACCTGCCTTGGCCCTTTGGTGCATCAAGGCCTTGAACCTATGTGCAGCATAGTACCAGAGCGCATGGAAGCCCTGGATGTTAACACCGTGCCGAGCAGCGCGCAGGTTGATGCGCACCAGGTAAACAGGTGACAAGTTGCTCCCATTCTAACACATTCTCGCGAGCGCCACATGTCGGCAAGAACTGCGCTACCAAACGCGGCGACACCATGGTCGAACACCACCCGTGCTTCTGCGGCTTGAAATGCGCTTGCAAACATAACAACATTGAGTCTTCACGCGGGCTGGCACTTTCTGATGAGCATGTGCAATCCATGTAGAGCATTGGTGGCTTGGTCTTGTTGGGTTTGCGGCGTCTCGTGGGCAATTTTTTGCAGGCCCACTAGTTGCAAACAGCTATTGGTTCAATGTGAACTCAAGGTTCAAGCTCTAGAACCTTTGGGTATCAAAGTTGATGACGTGAAATTTGAACCGGCCGTGCCGGTTGCAATCGCCTAGGCCGTCAACTCCCTGCTCATCAGCAGCTGCAAAGGAGCTGGGCCTGAGCAGCAGTAGTCTTGAAGTGGCTTTGCCCCGCGTCAACACCCGGTCCCAAGTATCCTCCAACTGCGCAACGCTACGCAGAGGGCCCCAACCGAGTTGGACTCACACCCAGGTGCAAGGGCGACGGAGGCTGCTGATTGCATGCGTGAGAGGCTTGACAAACTTGGGGGCTCGTTTCATCGTTATTGTGTTGCTTGACCAGCTCTTGGCTTGTCGGGCAAGCGCGCCGTTGTGGGGTTTCGTTTGGAAAATGGTTTACCCGCGAAAAAATCTAGGTTTACATGTTGTTATATGTTGAAGCTTCAGTCTCCACGTTGAGGGGGCAGGGTCTGGATGGAGAGGTTTGCAGGACGCGGCAAACGATTCAAGAGGGGCCATGGTGCGGCAAGTTTTGCCTCCATCAATGTGTGTGGCCATCGTTTGGCTCAACGATGCAACAATTAGACTGGAGGAGGTCATGGAATTCTTGTGGACCAGATTTCTTGACACTTAACGCAAATCCAGATCACGGCATGGAACTCAGCGCTTGTTTTTGTTTGTTTGATCAGCTGCAGCGGTGCTAGCGCGACTGCTGCGTCTCACTATTAGTGGTTGTTTGCGCCCTCCGGCATCTAGTATGTGACGCTGGTGTCCGACTGACTGAACTGTTGTCGCGTGTGCGAAGAAATTTGGAGAACATCATATCCGTCATGGGTCTATGCGCAAGACTATGTGAAAGCGCCGCTCTGGATCTCACATTGGCACCTTGGCCTTGCATCACCTGGCCATTGGATCAAGGATCCGCGAGCCTTTCCCCTTTGATTTGCGATCATGGATGTGTGGTAAAAGCCCGTGCAGCCTTAGACCGCATTGTGACAAGTTGGCACCGGAGCCGCGTTGACAGGCCGGCGCTTTCTTTTTGGGGGCATGCCTACTTGGCACGACAAACTCTCAAAGCGATGGCGCTCCCTCTGACCAGGAAGAGACACCCGTACCTGTCGACGTTGCAGACCCAGGTGACCTTCAGCATGAGGCCAAGACAGCCGAGATTCCCCGAGCCTTCCTTCAGGTGAGTCATGGACTTGCGCTGATGGCTGGCGCGAGGCAGGCAAGTCCGAGGCCAAGGCCGATGACCCATGTGTGAATCCCAATAAGTTTCCTCAACAACCACCAGGTTTTCCCTCTCCACAGGCCACAAGGCCGACCACCACGTGCAACTCACCCTGATGGCGCACGCCGATCCGGAGGACATCAGGCTTCGGAGAACACCGCTACGCCTAGCGACAAAGTGCTTTCCGCCCTCAACAAGCTGACTCAGAAGAAGTCGACCGAGGATCTGACGACTGGGCGTCAGCTAAGGGGCCCAGCAAGGGCATTCGATGGCGCGGAGGCACCCCTCCTCAGCCACCGGTATGGCGCCATGACCGTGCTTCGAGCCTACAACAAGTACTGCAAGAAGGTGGAAATCTGGCTTTTGCAAGTGGCACCGTACATGTCTCGGAAGCAAGCGGCCCTAGCCATTTCTGGTGCACTGCAAAGAGAAGCAGAGCGCACGCCTGTTGCCGAGATCTGCAAGGAGGACGATGTGGAGTTCATCCTCAACGCCCAAAAGGTGCCCATGGAGCAGACAGCGGTGTACAAGCGCAAGTACCTGTCCGAGTTTGAGAACATGCGGCGCTACCAAGGCGAGTCACTCAGGAGCTTCGTGAATCGCTTCCGCCGTTCACAGCGGAGTTTGAGCAGCGTCGGCGTCGAGATTGGCCACACCTACGACAACGAGTCTTTGGGTGCCAGGTTGCTGGACAAAAGTGGCCTCAGTCACGACCAGCAGCGCATGATCCTCGTCGGCGCCAACAAAACTTGGTTTGTGATAGCATTGCCGAGGCCATGGTTTTGCAGTTTCCAGACTTTCGCCCACCTCTGCCTTTGCCACACGGCGGTAAGGACGGCAAGAACCATTTCAAGGGCAACGGCAAGAACGCTCTTCGGCACTATCTGGTAGGTCTTCTACCACATTCTCCAGGTCAGCATCTACTACCGGTCATGGCAAGGGACCACCCGGTCCACGGCGGGCCTTTGTTGCTGAGGCCAGCAATCAGCCCTCTGGTGATCAGGACGATGAGACACTGATGCCATTCCGGAGGGGAGGATCAAGATTTTGGCGATGAAGCCGAAGATGACGCGGACTCGGCGGATTTGACCGAGCTTGGCAGAGGTTTTGGACCCTGATGGCGAAGAAGCTGAGCGGGATCACCTTGGGCAGGAAGTTCACCAACGTGAAGCCGAAGCCCAAGAGTTTTCAGAAAGGCGGCAAGGGAACCAGGCCGACTTGCTCTCCAGAGGACGCCGAAAAGGCAACTCACTGTTCAGCTTGCATTGCCCCGAAGAACCAAGCAACACACCTTCGCACGGCAAGGGTGACAAAAATGCTCCGAACCGCCACTGCGTGAGCTTCGTGCATCATGATCATGGCCAAGTTGAAACTGCAGATCATGTTCCCCAAGAGTACGGCCACATGTTCAATGTCAACATGATCCACCACCCAGACCAGTGCATGCACCCCTTCTTCGTTGACGGGGTTTCCGTGAAGGGCCTGCGGGCACATGGTGTTGAATTCAGGTTGCCAGAGGACATGTTGCGGGACTTAGTGGTTTCGAGCGCATGTGCAACTTCTCAAGGAACAAGGCCTTCAGCCGTAGCAACGACGTGTTTCAGTTCGGTAAGGGCGCCCCATCCTCATCTACCACAAGGGCGTAATTTTCTCGGAGCCATCATCAACTTTCAGAAGGGTTTGAGACCCTTAGAATTGGGCCACATGGCTGTGAACATCCTGGACTGCCCCAAGAACCATGCAAACATGAGCTGGGACGCTTTGTCTCATTATGATTTGTGGCAAAATCCATATCTTAACTCTTCCGGATGAGAAACCCAATTCGAAGGTAGGACCGCATGATCAGGCCACCTCCGGCATGGTTGATGGGATGGCGCCGGGTCCTGACCGCGGTAAAGGAGCTCCAGAAGCAGTTCCTCAAGTCCTTCATGAAGACGACCATATTCGGACTCCTTCGAAGAGGGCAACTTCAGCGCCTGCCACCCGACGTGGAGATGCAGATCATCCCAAGCCTGTGCAGCCACCCGTCATTCACAAGACACGGAAATGCACACGGCAGGTTCGCTCGTTGTCTCCAATGCGGACTTCAGTGGAGATGGGCCGACAAGATACAGAAATGGGAGGCGCGTGGGCCGAAGGACGCCCTTGCCGCCACCGTCTTCGGAGACAGTGGCCACGTCTTCACGCCAACGTAGAGCATAGCGCTTTTCCTGCAAAGAGTTCCCAGAGGTGCATTGCTGGTGGAGGTCTGTTGGTAGTAGAAGAGGTAGACGTGAGGATGCCGAACTGTTTGTCAAGCAGATTGGCTGACCGGCTCCAGCCGCCTTGCGGTCTTTCCTTGCCGGGCTTGAGATCTAGTCCTTGCCGATCTGGCTCCAGTCGTAGCTGTCGTCGTCCGGCGCGTGGATGACCCCCATCTCGATGAGACGATTCCATCTGTGCTCGTTCTCCTTCTTCTCCGTGGTCTTTCGGGCCTCGCGGAACTCCTCCAGGGGGCTCTCCTGCAGCTTGGTGAAGTGGTTCAATCTGACCTCCAGCTTGCTGAAGTTGGTCCAGTTGTCAGTAGGATGGACTCTTGGTCAAGCTCGAAGAGCGTGGGCTCTATATTGGTCACGGGGAGTGCCTTGCTCAAGGTCGGGAACCCTTGTAGAGCCAACAGGATGGTGCGGCAGAGCTGCTCGGGGTGTTCTTGAGCCTGAATGGACAAAGCATTGCTCTTTGGCGTGCGCTGGTAGTGAACGGTTGAGGTCTTCGTTGAGGCCTGGGATCTTGCCCGTGAACTTGAAGGCTTGGCAATGGGGACACCGTCCACGTCGGTTGGCTGCATGCTGTTCTCGGGCCAGTCGGTGGCAATTCGTCTTACTGGACGATCTTGTGCTTGAAGCTCTTGCCATTCTTGAGGACGCTGGCTGTAATTGAGGTTCTTGTTCAAGAGGGTTTTGTGCTTACAATCGATGCTCATGAGGATGAGGTACGGCTTGAACCGCTTCATGGTCCTTCTGCTGGACTGAAATCTTCATCAAATCTTGGCCGTGGATGAGGTCCCATGGTTGTAGTGTCATTGAGCTGATACTCGGAAATGGCCACCCACTTCCGAGAAGGCCAGTTCAGATGCCTACGCAGGACCTCAGCCAATTGAACAACATCATCCAGAAGATTGACCATGCCTACGCGCATACACCGTCGGCATCAACACCGCCACTTGAAGGCAAGTCCAGGACCTCATGCGCATGGATGCAATCAAGGTCCGGGTAGTTGCCAATCCTACAACAAGGCGGCTACCCAGCAACATGCGCGAGCGCAGTGCGAGAGCCTCGATAATCATCTCTGCGGACAACACTAGAGCTGTAGAGGCGGAGAACATCGTGGAGATCCACTTCCCCAAGCAACAGCTTAACAAGCCAGTCCACGTGGCCAGTTTCGTTTGCGGAGACCGACGACAGTAGTCGGATTAACTTCCTCAAGAAGAAGCTCCAGGAGAACCAAATGTGGTTCCTCACCTGTCGACCGACATCGACTTCCCCGACCTCTCAGCCGGCATCAGCGCAGAGACATGCAGCACAGTGGCCAGACTCCACCTCAATTTGGGACACCCATCACGACGAGCTTTTCAGGCTCTTCGATGTGTTGCAGATGGATGTGTTCTTTTGCAGGACGCTCAGAGCCGTCACCTTCATAGCCCTTGGCATGATCGACAAGGCGACTGGGCTTCATCAGGCAGTGGTGATTCTCGAGAGGAGCGCATCAAGTGCTTCTTTGAGCAACGAATGAACTGCATCATTGAGCGCTGCCCTCCTGAAGCTCACCGCGTCATAGGCGCTATCGAGAGGCGCAACTGCATTCTCCGGGCCCTTCTGGAGAAGCTGCTTGCTCAGCACTGCAAGACATTGCTGGCGGCA